ATGCAATTAAATCATTATTTTGCTAAGTCAAATATTGATTCTACATTCCCCAGAGGGTAAAATTCAGTGTTCAGGTTTCTCTGAATTGATTAGGTAATTCAATTTTAAAGAAGAGGACAGTATATGTCAGCAGGATGATCACAGGATAAGAAGTATCAACTTCAAACACATGTTTTTCTGATTGTTATATTAAGAATTTAGGATGGGGAAAGTTCATAATTTCACATCATAAAATTTCAAAATGCTATATAATTATGAAACATTAAATATTTCTAAGCCAGCAAAAACCCTCTTCCAGTGTTCAAATTCTGTAGGTTAAACAGGTGTTCATACACATCTGCAGGAATAAGTATTTCAGAACCATCCACTCTTCAACAAAATCAGGGGTTAAGGAATTAATTTGAAGCCAACTGTTAGTAAAACTTGGAATTGGCAGCAACACACATAAACTTATGCTTCAACTCTATGAAACTGTATGGGATTGCTCAGAAAGTTGATTTTGATGCACTGAACACCTTGGAAGCAAGTACCCATACTTATGTGTATTGTGGAATCTGTCTTTTTTCTTTATTAGGTAGTATGATGTACTTCTGCAAAGGTCATTTCACAGCTACTATGCAAAAAAAGTCACGGAGATTTGTTGGCTTTCCATAGTCTCCCTAGGAATCATCAAGTCACAGCTTTCCAATATATGCATAATAAACCCATGCATAATATACTGTGTAAAGATAAATTATGACTGAAGAAACTGATACTTTTCCAAAAGTTATGGTCATACTGCAGTATTTTATCCCTAATAATATCCACCATCCTTCTCCATTCTAAAAAGCAAAAAAAATCTTTTAAAATCTCTTGGCTTGATTAATTGCACTTTTATTATTGTTTTGCTGTTTTAAAGTGCATGTTAGAAATTCCATTATTATTTAGGGTTTTCTTATTAAAAATGTAAATCTCCTAATGCAGGCGTTCCCAACTGGGGGTGCTCACACCCCCTAGGAGTGTGAGATGATATTCCAGGGGATGCGAAAACTTGGGGTTTCAAAATTAGAGTGTATATGCATAATTTGTTGCTGTTATTTCAAACGTTTGTAAGGGGTGCGAAAATATATCAGAAGCATTCTAGGGGTGCAGGGTACAGAAATCGTTGGGAGCTGCTGTCCTAGTGGAATGCAAGATTAGCATGCGCCAATCGATTATCAGAAACAAATCAGATTACAAACCTGAAATATTCTGAATAACTTTCTTAAGAATATTAAGATATATAATACAGCAAAATAGTAATAACATTGCAGAAATTGAGGTTAATGTACACACAGTTATTTAGTAGTGGTATTTTTCTCAACGAAGCACTAGCAAATCAATTACTTGATTACCTTGTAGGTAATAACAGCAATACCTTGAACACAAATTTTCATATATTCCAGGCCAGCATTTTAAAAATCCCACTATAAAGCAGAAACCACATGTCTTCTAAATAACGTCTTGGAGAGTTTATCTACATTCAGTCATGTATTTAAAGTTAATATCATTCATTCTTCGTCATACAGATAGGCATCCTGGTTCATCTACAGCAGTGGTGGCGAACCTATGGCACGCGTGCCAGAGGCGGCACTCAGAGCCCTCTCTGTGGGCACGCACGTCGTTGCCCCAGCAGAGTAGCGAGCACGTGGCGTTTGGAAGCGACGGTAGGAAGTGAGCGAGCAAGTGGCATTGGCTCCCCGGGGATTCCCCGGGCATGGTGAGGGACTGGCCCTGACCACGCTCACCCAGTCTGCCATGATCACTGCAGCCACACGCACCTAGTGAACCACACCCCCCCCCTGAGGGCACCACAATGCTGATGCAGCCCTGGCACTTTGTGATAAATAAGTGGGTTTTGAGTTGCAGTTTGGGCACTCGGTCTCTAAAAGGTTCGCCATCACTGATCTACAGTATGTATTCAAAGGATTCAGGTTCACCTCCTAGTAACTCCATAAACAAACTTATAGAATTTTCTTGGCAACAACACAGAAGGAGGCTTGCCATTGTCTATTTCCAGAATATTGTTTCCATTTACCAGTCTAGTCTATATATCTGAAACTCCCTAATGGCCAACTTAGTTTCTAAGCCCAGACAAAGTCAGACAGATGCTGCTGCTGTTGAGACATGTTATACAAGACCACTTCCATAATGCTTGACTCAGGTCATTGAAATTGAGCACATCTTATGGAATAAAGAGCATGTACCTTTTAGAGAAGCTGCAGGTTTCAGGGCTATTCTTCCAACCAGACATTCTTTCAGCATTGATTCATAATTGACCCAGCGATGAACCTGCCGGGAAAAATGTAAGCTTATATTTGACAGCTGTTCATCAATGACAACATATTTCTAAACAACCATGAAAACATTCTAAATCCCATAAATTAAGCAAACATTAATAACCCAGCTGCAGAACAAACAAAAACAAATATACAGGCAATCTTCAACTTACAGTTGTAATTGAGCCCAGAATTATGGTCATAACTCATTGTGGTTATTAAGTGGGTCACCGCATCACCAGACCCAAGTTTACAACTATTTTTGCAGAGGTTGTTAAGTGACACCATTGGTTGTTAAGCAACTCCATTACACCTATTGCCAGAAACTGGCACCAAACATCAAAAATTGCAGATACATGACTGCAGGGTGCTACAAATGGATATAAAAGTGAGCCAACTGCCAAGCACCCAAAATGTGATCATGTGACTGGGAATGGGCAGGATGGGTTATGGCCGTCATAACTTTGAAACTGGATCATAGATACTCAATCGATTGTAAGTCGAGGACTACTTGGCTGTATATAACATTTCCTATTCTACACATTAATTTATAGCAGGAATACGTAAGAAAAGGAATTACGCCTTTCCTCCTTACGTGAACTCTAAATATGTAACCCATTATTTCAAAACTAACCATAACTATGCCGTGCAATTTATTATTTTTTTTAAAAAAAACTTCAGTTCACAACACTCACTTTAATCTGAGACGAATGTCTCCTAGGTAAGGTAGGTAAGTTTATCTATGTATCTGTGCATCTGTGTCTGTTTATGTAGAGAAAAAAAGAAAGAAAGAAAGAAAGAAAGAAAGAAAGAAAGAAAGAAAGAAAGAAAGAAAGA